CTTTCAAGCACCAATCTGGTCATCTTGTCGTTGGATCGGCCGATGACTTTGGGTCATCGAGGACATTTCCTATTTGTAATCCATTCAAAGGCACAATATAATCTGTTCTGAGGTGCAATAAGCCGTCCTTTGGCCCCAACGCTGTGGAGAAGGCCCAAGAAGATGAAGATGATTGGATAATTTTCGCTTGTAATATTTTATCAAGTAGTTTATCGCTCTCTTCCCGATAATTAACGGAGATCTGGCGAGAAAGTTGCTAAGTATGCTTAGAATCGACTGTGTAGATGACATGCTGTACAAGATGGGTACAGTCGATAGCGCCTGTAAAACGAGTACATCGTTTGTGGAGGGGGGTTAGTACGGCTCTCAGCTGATTGGGGTATTAATTCTCAGCTGGGTGTGGGATGACGGTATCCAAGGGGGTACGCTCTAGGGTAATGGCTGTAAAAACAGCATTATATGCGAGATATAATATAATATGTTTATTATGCCAGTTTACAGGCAATTGTAAAGAGTTGGTAACGCACTTCTTGCTATGCCAGTTTACAGGCAATTGTAAAGAGTTGGTAATGCACCTCTTGGGCGCAAAAAAACCTAAACAAACTCCCTATGTCGCAGCCAGTATTGGTTTTGTTTCAGTCAGTTTACAGGCAATTATAAAGAGTTGGTAGTGCACCTCTTGGGCGCCTTCCAAAACCTCGAAGACCGGCCTAAAACAAACTCCCTCTTTTGCAGCCAGTGTTGGCTTTATTTCCATTTTGTGTTACGCACCTCTTGGGCGCCTTCCAAAACCTCGAAGACCGGAAAAAACCTAAAACAAACTCTTTGGGCGCCTTCCAAAACCTCGAAGACAGGAAAAAACCTAAAACAAACTCCCCTCTCGGCGCCTTCCAAAACCTCGAAGACAGGAAAAAACCTAAAACAAACTCCCTCTTTTGCAGTCAGTGTTATTTTTGTTTCAATTTTGTGTTTTGTCAATACTGGGCGAGATAGGGAGTTTGTCTTTGTTTCAGGTTTTGTGTTTTGTCAATGCTGGGCGAGATAGGGAGTTTGCTAGGACCGGAAAAAACCTAAAACAAACTCCCTATGTTGCAGCCAGTATTGGTTTTCTCGAAGACCGGAAAAAAACCTAAAACAAACTCCCTATGTTGCAGCCAGTATTGGTTTTGTTTCGGGTTTTGTGCTTTGTCAATACTGGGCGGACTCTTCGGTGGATGGGGGTGGGGAGCTGGGGGACGGGGAGGTGAGATGAGATGAGGTGAGGCATTGGCAAAGCAATAAGCAAGGTCGGTTGAAGTGAGCCAGTGGGGTTGAACATAGAGGAAAATGAACAAACATCGAAAAAACTCCTTGGGATCTTTAGGAGAAAAAAAAACTGTCGCTCTTGGGGAGGGGTAAGCAAATGGGGAGGGTAGCGCAGAGGTCACTAGGGTCTTCACCGAAGTGCGGCAGAGGCGGCTAGATACTCACATGCTGATTGCAGAGTCCATTGACAAGGTCGCGAAAACACAAATATCCGCCAAGATCTTCGCCAGTCCACTGTGGGTCGAACCAAGAGAGAACGCTTAGGGGCCGCGTAGACAATGGCCGCAAGGTTCGACAGGTGCGATCGCTGACCGAATCGTCGTGGTTCGTATATATTCAAGTAAGGAACGCTGCAGAGTCCAGTGGTAGGCTTGAGAACAGCGTTAGCGGCCGTGGCTGGCACGAATGAGCCGAGTTGAAGAGGCGGCTGTAGAAAGCCGGTATTTGAGTTCTACGTTGACAGCAAGTCGGTATGCCGTGTCAGTATTGATTGAATTGAGAGA